AGCATAAGCATGCAAAGACCAACCACAAAACCCAACATACCCCCTACCAATAGAACACCGTCAGTTGTACAGTCCAGACACACAAAAGTAGTAGTTAATAAATGGTCATCATCACAGTATTGGCTTTCTTCAAGGTCAATGCCCGAGAAAGCAGGGTATCAACACGCCCGTGTATCAAGAAGACAAGTAAAGAAATAAAATAGAGAGGTAATTTGCATCCGGGTGGCAGGCTGCCGGCCCCAGAGGTCACGGCCGTTTTTCAATCGAGGATTCATTGCTCGTCATACACGTGCCACTCGTCGTTACCAAAGAAGGACTGCGCCAGACCTTTGCCACTCGCGGTCGGCTGGCTGAAGGCAATCTGTTCCTTGGGGATTTCCATGCCGTAGATGAAGTTGCTGACCACACAATCCAATAAATCCATGGCAATTCCCTTGCGACGCGAGGATTCCGAAGTCCAGATCCGAGAGATTCCCACGATAGCCGGGTGGTGTTCGTCGCGAACGGTGACCGAGGAGTCGGTGGTGCCTGGGGCCGGGGCGGAGGATTTCTGGATCGGTCGAGATTCCCAAATCCGCTCGGTCAAACAGGCCCCCACGCAGCGGCTATCCTTCATGTGTAAGAAGACCTTGTAGCGATCTATCTTCTCCGTCGTGCCATTTTTGCGTAGGTGAACCGGTGGCTCTGTCTGGCTCCATAGAACTTCGTCTTCGATGATGGGGGAAGAAAGCTCCTTGCAAATGACCTCGAGCACCTTCTTGGCCTGGTTCTTTGCCGTTGGGGATGCTTTGCGATCGACAATGACTACATATCCCTCGTCAAAGCGAGTGGCTTCATAAACCCAACGAGATGCGTTGGCGCGCATGAATGCCTTGCCCAGATCCACCCCTGTCGAGTTCATTTCGTGGAACTTTTTGTGCGTTGCTGCGTCCTCCGCATTTGAGGGCACATATTCCATACCGCAGGTCGCACAGGTTCGCCGCACCTCACAGCCAACATCGATCTGCATCTGCTTCAAAGCGCCCGGTTGTTGCAATTGCGGTGTCGCTGGGGTTGACGTGGTTGCCGTGGTTGCCGTCGTCGTCGTCGTCGTCGCGGCGGCGGCGGTCGTCTTCTTCTTTGGGGGATCCATCGAGGCACGCACACTATTGGAGTTGACCTCGGTTAAAGGCGTGCTGTTACCGGTAGCATCTTTGGTGGCAGTGTGCTTGCGTTTGAGAAAGGCAAAAGTCGGTTTTCGCGTATTGGCGGGCGGGGGGCTTAAACGTGGCGGGGGCGACGATGGAGGCGTCGACAGATCATCATCCTGAGTTCCTTCGGACAGCACGACTGAGTTGCGACGTGATGGACTGGATAGCACGGCAGCGGATGATTCTCGGATGGCATATTGAATACTATTCTCCGCCTCATCCGAGTCGAAGCCGGATAACGCGACGCGTCTTTTTTTGGCGGCGGGTCCCTGGTCATCGTCATATACGCGCCACAGCGGACGCCCGTAAGTTTTCATCATGAGACCTCTTGAGGAGCGCGATCGCGTCAGTGAGGCAGACATTCCATTTTCCAAAGAAGGGGGAACTCACCGCTTGAATGAATTTGTCACAGTCCACGGCATCTCCCTGGATTAAGTCGAGCGACACACTCAAGCGAGGTAAATCATCTATGGCGTCTGTAAAGGAGGCAGGATCACTTGTGCTGGAGGGAGGGATGAGGCTAGAGATGGTAGGGGGGGGGGGGGGGGGGCAAGCTATAGGAAGAAAGGTAGAGGGAGGGAGGGGAGGGGGGGAAGATCTTTCAGACGAGAGTAAGGAGAGAACGGTGAAGAATCGAGTATTTTGGAAAGGTGAGGGCAGTGATGAAGAGATTATGAATTTCAGTCAACGGCCAACAAAGTGAGAGTAGGGTAATGGAGAGAAGGGAAATAGGAATAATTATTTTTTTGGAGGTTAAGTCAAGGGAGGTGGAAAGAGCAAGAGATAGTTAGATGATGGAAGAAGGCGGCGGCGGCGGCGATGATGATGATGGAAATACCTTATGGCAATAATAATAATTATTCGGTGATCGACGGGAACGCGTGAGGTCACTAGTCCCCATTCGGTCATATTACTTCTAGAAGAGAATAACGACCAGGAATAAATTAACGCCTTTCCTCATTCCATCCATTCATTCATTCAAGTTGATTCAATTGATTAAGTTACTTATTGATTTATTATTCATTCTCCATCAACCCACCAAGTACCCCGTACTACTCACTCAGTACTCGACAGCGAAAGATCCAGAAACAATTTATAATAAGCACTGCTTGAAATTTCCTCCAACATTGTATTGTATATCATAATCATCATCACCATAGTAGTTACTTTACACATGTACTCCCATACAATAATACTAGGTACAGTAGATGCTGTAAGTTAGATCCCATAACTCATCCCATTGGCATTCTCCCGGTGGCGTTGCTCAGGATGCGTCAAAAAGACGGCTTTTTCTCCCCTGATTCGACCCAATCAACCGCCAGCCTCTCCGACAGCAGGTGTTACAAGTGGAACAATAGGCCCCCGGGATCTGCCTTTTGTTCGCCTTACAACAGGCTGATGACTACCTTTCCTGAGTCTTCATAGGCAGGGCCAGCCAGCCTGCTTGCTGTTGCTGTTACTGTTGTTGTATCATCATCATCATCACCCATCACCCAGCATCGTATTATTGCTACCTAGTACCGACTCAACACAGACCATCATCCCCTTCCCCCCCTTCCCCCCCTCTCCCCCTATTTACTCCCATGATACTGGATCCTAAGTGCGACCACTATGAATAATTAGGTGTCACTACGTAGACAGGCAAAGAGTCAATCAGAGTCAACCAAACCCCGTAAGATGTGACTCGTCCTCGTCCCAACCAAGCTCCTGTGGGGTGACAGCTCCTTTCCCTTCTCAGCTCTCAATTCATCGAGCCAGTGTCTTCTTGCCCCAGGAATCCTATTTATGTCCTCTGGAATTCTTCTTGGAAAGAGTAGAATTCAGGAGGTACTATGTTAAACGACCAGCCCAGTGCATGCATGCCTAAGAGACCATCCGTTCGGCCTCTTCTCGCTTTTCCCGCCTCGCCCTTGCTGGCTACTTACCTTTCTTGAGTATTCGGAGCGAGCTCGCGCACAGTCCATCCACCTGCGTTTGCCCGCAGAGATAGCTAGGTATGTGAAATGATCACATTCTTCTTTTGCGAGGGAACAAAACCTGCTGGGAAGGTAACCTCAGACCCCTTCGGATTCTGTTCACTTGATGCGGAGGCGACACACCTGCACCGCACACATGGAATTGCCCTGGAAGAACGGCGTCAACAGCTGCAATCCAGAACCTATTCGGCAGTAGGAACGCTTCTCATTCATCCACGGCCTCCTCCCCAGCATTCCTCGCGGCTATGGGGTAGAGTCTGGCGGGTGCTCAGAGCTTGGACTGCTGAGCAGCATGATAAGAATCTCTACCCCGCCTCATCGACATGGTCTTCAGGCCAAAGGTCCGTCCGTAAAAGCATCTACAGCAGATCGAGAGAGTAGATGGAGTCCGGCAGTCCGCATCTGTGATGAACGGGAAACATGGAAGGATTCGACCGGAGCAGCTGCGACCGGGGTCCGGATGAGACCCCAATGGGAAATTGGGCGAGGTGCGACCGGGACTGGGAGGGAAGCCCTCGTCGGACATGAGCTATCTGCCTTGACAACAGTATCAACTCGATTTCCACTGGCTGCCACCCGAATTTTCTCGTGGGTTGCACCTCGAATCATGATCATGTTACGAGGTTGCTCCCGCTGCACCGGGGCATGGACCAGGGCAGCTGTCACAACCGGAGAATCCAGTAGAAAACTGGCGACTTTTCTCACGTCAGACCTGAAGGAAGCAATGGGCAAGTTCTACTAAACTAGTTAGCTGTCAAGTCTAGCACTTACTATACAGTATATAGTAAGTCAACTAGCATAGAGTAAAGCACACGTAGTCACACATATTGGAATGTTGGTTCCTCCGTACAGTGAACTGACAAGGAATTGACCATGGAAGTGAATTGGTACCTGAGGCCATCCACTGCTATCGATAACATGCACTCCGTAGGTAGCACGCCATCCCGCCGACCGAGGATGGAGACAGTAGATAGAGCACTAACTTAGATACTGATGGATAACAATCTGCAAAAAACCACTTTTAAGGAGTATCGATTCGGAGCATTCGGGATTTAAGCAATTGATCAAGCAGCACATCAGCGGCCGATTGGCAAGCAAAAGCACAATTATCGGAGGGAGAATGTCTCCGATCATACCCATACTAACTATAGTATTCGGCTGGCAAGAGGGCTCCGGGGGGCCTGGACCGGCGCTTCCTGATTGGGGCGGAAACCCAAACTCTGCCTGTCTTAGTGACCTTTTTTTTTTCTTCTTTCTTTCAACTCCTCCTGCTATTGCTTCTGCTACAACTGTTGCTGTTGCTGTTGCGGTTGTGATTGCGCTTTCGGTTTCTTCAAATATTACTTCTTCTTCTACCCCTCCTCCTCCTCTTCCTCCTCTTTCACGGAATTTTTCTCGTCTCCTGTTATACCGTATAACGACTTCGCCTCCCCCCTCTCCTCCTCCGCTCCCCGCTCATTTCCATACTACAATTGTTCTATAATATCAGAGGCGCTGTCGTTTGATTCTCGCCTTCTTGCTGCTCTCCCACCTATTTGACCGGTCACTTCTCTGGCGTGCCCCCGTCGTGCTGCCAGTTCGAAGGGATTGTGGCTGCACTAAGATCAGCAGCCAGGAAATAATTCTACACCAGCTTTTAACTCGTTCGGGTCAGCTGTGCTTCGAAGACATCCATCCGGCGCTCGTGTCCTTTAAAAACTCCGTTTGCGCTTTAAAATCCTCTCTCCATCTCGGGTTCTTTTCTTTTCCCCAGTCGGCTTATTTATACTTTCTGTCTTGCACCCTCGCCAGACAAACAGTCTCGCTTCGTCAAGAGTTACATTTTTTTAAATTCTTCAACTTCGACTGTCATCATGTCGGACGCCTCTCTTCAAAACGCCGGCAAGAGAAAGCGCGCCAGTATGTATACCAATTTTCTCTTCCGAGGCTGAGGCTGGTTCCTAGATGATGGAAGGGTTCACACGCCCGCCGCCTTGGCCTTCTCTCTCCCACCTCATCTCTGTTTGCTTTTTCCCCCTCTTCCCCTCATTTTTTCGCGCCGACCGCCATCATTGTCAGCACCGTCCCTGTCAAGCACCGACGATCATCCGATCGCTTTTATCAGCCTTCTTCGACTACCCTAATCGCTATCATTTTTGTTTTTTTCTGTCCCCTACCATCCTATCTCTCGATTGAATACTCAGGTCTTCGGTCTTTTCGCTTCTCTGTCCTCTCGCTACCGTCGCTTTTTCTCCAGTATGGCCGCTAATCCGAATCAACTGCCAGGGACCCAGTCTTGCCCTCCGCCTGAATTGCCTCAGCTCGTCGCAGAGCAACATGTTCCGATTCCCGCTCATGATAAGGACACTCAGCGTCTGATCGTCGTCCTCTCCCATGCCAGCTTGGAAACCTACCGCGCTTCTAGCGGCCGCAATGGCTCGAGTCGTGACGAGAAGTATTCGCTCCTCAATAGCGATGAGCATATTGGTGTCATGCGCAAGATGAACCGGGATATCAGTGAGGCTCGTCCAGACATCACACATCAGGTTGCTACCCGCCCTTGTACCCTTCTCTCAAAACCGCAAAGCATCTAACGCATATGCCCCATTAGTGTCTGCTTACCCTGCTCGACTCCCCTGTGAACAAGGCTGGCAAGCTCCAAATCTTCATCCATACCGCCAAAGGGGTCTTGATCGAAGTCAACCCCTCTGTCCGCATTCCCCGTACCTTCAAGCGTTTTGCTGGCTTGATGGTGCAGCTTCTGCACCGTCTGTCCATCCGCTCCACCAACTCCCAGGAGAAGCTCCTTAAGGTCATCAAAAACCCCATCACCGATCACCTGCCGCCCAACTGCCGTAAAGTGACCCTGAGTTTCGAGGCTCCAGTCGTCCGGACCCGCGACTACATCGAGTCCCTCGGCCCCAAGGAGAGTGTCTGTATCTTCGTGGGTGCCATGGCCAAGGGTCACGATGACTTTGCCGATTCCTTCAAGGACGACACGATCAGTATCAGCAATTACAGTCTGAGTGCCAGTGTGGCCTGTAGCAAGTTCTGCCATGCCGCGGAGGAGGTGTGGGACATCGTCTGAGCCCAACTGCTGGAATGACCCCTTCCTTTGTCCGAACATTGGCCCCAGATTGACGAGGTGACGAATTTCCTTGCGTGAATGTGGGGGGTAGATGCGGGGTTGGATTGCGAGCTGGAGGTTATCCGGGTGCCGATCGGGGACGAAGACCTGCCGTTCCTTGCTGTGTCACTTTTGACCTGTGTGGATTTAGCATCGCCTACTAGCTCTTGCATGTCTTGGTGTCTTTGTTCCGTGTGCTTTTCGCTTCGCTGCCGTATCAGCTACACGCCCCATGGAGGCCGATGTGATAGTCGAACCCAACCCAATGATCCCACATGACTTGGACCTCTCTTGTAACGCTTTGCTTTTCTCTGGCAGCTTCCTGGTCGGCAGGCCGGCAATGGAAATCCTGCCGCAGACCCACAGCCACAACCGCTCTCCGCATGTTTCTGCACCAGGGATTCGCCGATTCGACTATCCGCTGCGAGACATTGTCTATACTTATCCTTGCCTCTCTCGCGCGCGCGCGCTCTCTCTCTCTCTCTCTCTCTCTCTCTCTCTCTCTCTGTGTGTGTGTGTGTGTGCGTGTGTGTGTGTACCCTACTTGTGAATGTGAGCCAAGCTGGTGATAACCCGGTGGCTCATGGCTTCCCTGAGCCCAAGCCCTGTCCTGTATCCGTGGAATTCCGTCAGCGCACAATCCACGGACACCAATTGCCTACACACATATAGCGATAAAAAAATGAAACGAATATCTCAATGGTTTAGTTTGCAGTTTGCAGTTTAGATGACAGGAGATCTACGGACGAGTCAGGGGAGGGAAGGACTGGGTATTGGCTGAATCCCTTATTCAGTTCACGCAGGTTTGATATCGGCCCTTGACGTCCCGGCGATCTAATGAGCTGTAGTCGGTCGATAGTAGAAGAGTGAGTGTAAAGGGGAATCCGCGGGCGTTAAAATGAGTCGAGATGAGGTCATTACTCGTGAAGGTAGGAAGAATCTTGTAGGAGAGGGAATAAAAGATGGTTCGAGACCCCTGCTCGGTGACGAAGGAAGGATCGAGGGAGGAAGGACGTGAATTAACTGGGAAGCTAGAATGAACGAAGAATGAGTGATGAGGGCCTGGAAGGTAGATAGGATCAAGCTGGCTGCCAGAGGATGCCAGAGGATACCTCAAGTATGGACAGTGGTGTTGGTAGTAGTAGTAGTAGTAGTAGTAGTAGTAGTAGTAGTAGTAGTAGTAGTAGTAGTAGTAGTAGTGCTTTAGTGCACTGTACTGTTGTCTTGTACTGTACCTACAGGCACTGAGCGGAGCCTGGAGCCTGCCAGTGCGCCGCGGTAGGCCACTCCTTCCCAACCAGGCAATCATGCTCCTGCTCCAGGCTCATAGTAGGTATGTATGTATAGACGGTCCACGGTACCAGGTAGGTACCAAGTTACTCCAAGCTGTAGGTATAGTAGTCAGTTACTCACAGTATTCATTCATACATACTAAGGTCTTTTCCACTCTCTCCGATCCTTCTCTCCTTATCCTGAACTACATCTCCATCCCCACCCACACCACTCACTCACTCACTCACTCACTCACTCACTCACTCACTCACTCACTCTTCCTTCCTTGATTTCTTTTTCTTCTTCCTTTTCTTTTTCTTTTCCATTCCGTGGTTGCCTCTCAATAATCATTGACAATCCTACTTGATTGGTGCGCTGGTGGCTGGAAAACGGAGTCGCCTGTTCGACGTGGCATGCAGACATGCCAGCAGCAAGTGGATCGCCCGCCTTTCCTCGCCATGGCCCCGCCATCTAGTCTAGGTACGGACTCTTGTACGGGGAGTCTGCGATGGAGTACTCCCTACTCCTGAGCACTCGGACCATACCATAATCATCGAAAGGCTATGACATCCTGATGATCACTGACTGGCTTCCTTCCTTGTCGCTGCCAGCTGCCGGATATCGGCCCCCAGCATGGTTTGCCGACCTTGTGAGGTATTCTTGATATGCACGTCAATGCTTTGACGATCACCCCTCCTCACACTCTCCGGTGCGCTGAGCTTGTTCTTTGAGTACTCATCTACATGGGTCGCACTTTAGTCGGATGGAGTACCAATCCAGGCTTGCCATAAGATTAGGAAAATTGCCTCTTTGCCTCCCTCCCTTCCCCTGAGTCTTGCCCCCGACTTTCTATCTCCGACAGTCGCCTAGATCTATAATCTTCTTTGTTGCATGATTCGCCATGCATCGGCACCTAGGCCGCAGAAATTTCGAATCACGGGAAAATTCGATAAAGAGGGGCACTTTCTGGCGGTCAGATCACACCGTCCATTAATTAGTAGTTGCAGCAGCAGACGTGCCCGAAGCAGGAACCAACGAGACAAACCATCAATCCAGCAGGCTGCCCCTCAGTGGCTCCCCAGACTGGCTGTTTGCTGTCATGCCTGACCGTCATTCGTTGCTTGCTCGTTCTGAGTGACCCCCGGCGATTTAATTCTGAGATCAGGAGGCCCAATGCCAGGCCCTGACTGAGCGAAGAGCCCTCTCTGCAGCGTCTGAGTTCGGTGCTGTTGGCTCTTCCTGCATGGCCGACACCCTTCATCGCGGTTTCAGCATCTCTCCCTTTTGGGACATGGCCATGCTCCACTCCTGCCAATCCCTATCGTCCACCTCGTTCAAGGACCCTCTCGCCTCACCCAACTTTCTTTTCTGACATGATGCCGTTGTTTGCACCTGGCTCCGACGCTTTCCCCACCGTTTCCTGATAGGCGCCCCGTCCGCCATGGGCAGGGCCACCTACCGCACCGTCCGCCGGCCTCCCCCACGGTGACCTGGCGGTCCCTCTGAGCAACTTCCTCTCGTCGCTAGCTTCGATCTAGCTTCACCGAAAGAGTATCCGCCATGGACCTCTGGCGAGGGGCGAAGACCTACCGATAGGAGTCAGCGCTGTCCGGACGGGGACTTGATGCCTCGTGGACTCACTGGGCATCCATTATTGTCTGGACGCCATGCGAATGGATGCAGGCCAGCTTGCGGTAGTCGGCCTGATTCCCCTTGGTTGGAACAACTGGCTTTATTCGCACGATAATTTTATCTTGGTCTAGCAGTGACTTCTGAACGCTCGTGATTGGATCACAGTTGGGCATTCTGCGTGATTCCTCCTTGAGTCCTAAAGGAGGGCCGACATTTTGCCTTGAAAAAGTGCTGCTTCTCGCCTGGTCTTTTCGTTTCTCCTTCCCCCTCATGATCTCATCTACCTCAATCTCTCCCGGCTGCGTGTATATAATCCTTCTTCACGTCGCTTGACTAAACGTCAACGCTGCAGTCACCTCACCCAGGAATTCCTCTTACTGGGGAACCGGCACTCCATCGTTGTATATACTTGAGTCTCAACCCCCCCTTATTTCGCAACCTTTCCGGAGACTTACCAATCCCAACACTTGTACCCTTCGATGCTTACGGAGAATTTCCTCCAGTGAGCCAATAACCGCCATCATGCCTCTTTCACATCTTACCTTGACCGTTTCCCACCTTCCAACCTCCACTTCCTTCTTCCTTTCTTGCTTACAACCGCTCGGCTATCAATTTATTGGCCGCCATGATGACTACATTGGTTTCGGTCAGAAGCAAGGCGAGCCCGCTGATTTCTGGATAACCGAACAGAAGCCAGGGTAAGTTATTGGCTATTGCACCATGTGAAGCGTTGGGCGGCGACTAACGAAGCTCTACAGAGTTCCAGCCGGTGCAGCACATGTTGCCTTCCCAGCAACCTCCAAGGATGCAGTAGGAACCTTCTTCATTAGTGCGCTCAAGGCCGGTGGCAAGATCCACGGAGAGCCCAAAATGCGCGACTCAGAGTCCGGCTACTACAGCGCCGCGGTGATCGACTTTGACGGTAATAGCATTGAGGCTGTCTACCGACCCAGCAGTTCCTCGGCTAGGTCCGAGGTTAAGTCAGTAGTCAAGTCGGAGATCAGCCGGCCAGCTCTGGCCTTGTTGGAGAACGGATCTGTCGTCTCGAAGGCGAGCAGCAGAGCCAGCTCAGTCAAAACCGAAAGTATTGCCCCGCCTCGATCGGAAGCCCGGTCAGAATCTCGGTCGTACGTGTCGAAGACAAATACTGCCATCGAGAGAGCGGTGCCTCTCGAGCGAGGCGCCCCGTCAATGGTGAGTCGGGATCATTACCAGCCGCCGCGCGATATTCAGCCAGCTCCGTCGCCGACCTACATTGTACACCACACGACACATACAACGCAGAAGACAGACAATGACAAAACGGCCAAGACGATTGTTGGCACTCTCATCGGAGCCGCAGCGGGTGCGGCCTTGGCTTATGCCATCGCCAAAGGCGACTCGACTGAGTCCACTGAAACCAACTCCGCGCCTTCCCAGTTTTCTCCTAGGGATATTGCTCAGCTCCTCTCCCCGTCCCAAGCCTCTTCTCAGACGCAAGAGTACCCCAACTTCAAGGCCATCGAGGCAGGCCCAGCCCGGAGTACTTACTCCGTTCGGTCTGATGGCCGGCCGATGCTCACTCGTAGCGTGACGTCGAAGAACCCGCGTGCAAGCACTATCTATGAAGGAACGGAGTTTGCTCCCCGCGGCAGCGGCGGCAGCGTGTATCTCGATGAGAACGGGCGCCGGGCCTCGGAAGGAAGCGTTTACAGTACCCGGGACATTCCCCTACGCGCAATCGAGTACGGACAGCCGGACTCGCAATCTCGGGGCTATGAAAGCACTTTGATCAGCAGTTTTCCCGATAAGTCGCGGGCGATGGATCGGGAAAGCGTCTATTCGGCGTCGACCATCAAACCCTCCAAGGGCAATCATCAAGAATCCCACCATGGCTCTCACCGGTCATCTCACTCCCACCACTCTACACCTCGCACTCTTCCGCCAGGGAGCACAGCCTCATCCGTTCGCTCTGCACGGCAAGCCCCTATTCCGGAGGGCTCCTCCATCGGGTCCCTTGCTTCCTACCGTAGCGGGGCCAAATCGGGTGTCTCGGCCCGCGAAGTGCCTCTCCCAGAGAGTGTTATCGACCTTGATGTTCGGAGCAACGTGACTCCTGACGATTCGATCAGCCAAGTGGATGATTCTCGGCGCTCATCCTACTCCCACAAGTCCCATGCCTCGAAGGCCGCTGGGTCTCGCGTCTCGAAACACTCTAGCAAATTTGATGAGCCTGTCAAGCCGAGTGACAGTGTGAGCCAAGTCTCCAGCAATGTCTCCCAGCGGACTATGAAAGCGGGCGGTGGTGGTGGAAGCATCGCCCCTTCCAAGGCAGCGTCCAAAATGAGCAGTCGTCGGGGCAGTAGCCAGGTTGCGTAAACGCATCCAGCTCTTGGGCATCCATCTTTTACCTGTCATCTGTCTTTTGGACCACTGTCGTTCTTTCTCTTACGATAATTACCTTACTGCTTGAACCAGGCCCGGGTTTCTTTCCTCCCGCGCGTGGTGTGCGCCATACAATCCGAAGTCGACAGTGATTGAATTCCTTGCATCCCTCCAAACATGTACCTTAGCAATGTGAGGCCTGGTTCTATTTTGCTTGCTACATACATGGGACATATACACAACATACATACATCTGTTCGCATCATATCCGGGCGTTCTGATCTTTTCTGGTTGTGGTTTTTTTCTACGGGCATGGCGATAAAGGTATCATATGGCTTTAGCTTTCTTTTTAAATTCTCCTATATGTGAATGAATATAAGTGACGAGATGAATTATAGCTCTGCTTTGACTGTTTGTCTTTGAGATCTCACCGCACGAAGGCTCTTAAGCCACGCCAGTCACGTGTTATGGGAATTACAATCTGCCACCCCAAGTGCCAACCAGAGCAAACAGGGCATGGAGGGCACGCTACTGCTAGACGCCTACTACAAAGAAAGTCTCAAGTCACCAGTTTGGGATTAGCTTGGCTCCTGAATGCACTATCTGATACAAACCAAACCCACCACTAGCAACCTCATCATGTCGTCCATCGGCCTTCCATCACCCCCACCACTACTTCGACCGTCACGACCAACCTCGAACCATCCTTCCCACGTCCACCACCAACCACCCCCGACCCGAGGAAAACAGCCTGGGGTTTAATGTTCAACGTTGTAACATGGGATCCGACTCCATTCAGAGAAAATAAAAAAAATGCCATGAATGCATAATGAGAATTGGTCATAATGATCGTTGAATATGACATTTCCCGCCAAGAGAAAGTGAAACAAGGGGTTTGAGGTAAAGGGGAATCAGACGCGCAAACTGAAAACAAGGAAAGGATCTACGATCACGGTACGCCAGGCTTCGGATCTGATCTAACGATTTGGAAAGAAGACGCAGAAGCGAGTGGGAAGACCAAGGTGGCCGTGGAAACTTGAATTGCGAAGATCAGATAGCGTATTTGCGAGTCCATTCACGCGCGGTCGCCTCGTACCGAGGACGGTCGGTCTTGTACACGTGAGCAATCTCGGGCACCAACGGATCGTCGGGGTTGGGGTCGGTGAGCATCGAGCAAATCGAGAGTAGCACTGCGGATGGAGTTAGTGGGTGTGAAAGCCGATAGGGGGCGCAACGGGAAGGAACGAACCCTTGGAGATCGTGAGAGCAGGGCTCCATTGGTCTCTGAGAATGTCAAGACAGATGCTGCCGTTCGAGTTGATGTTGGGGTGGTAGATGCGGGTGGTGAAGTTGACCTTCGGGGGCTTAAATGGGTAGTCGGTGGGGAAGTGAATGTTCAAGAAGAAAACGCCTCCCGAGTATGGGGAGTCACCCTGGCAAAGGCTACGTTAGTACACATGCGGGACAACCATTCAAAGATGCCCTTTCAGTACGAGCGTAGGTCATCTCCGTCTCTCGAAAGGGGGCCAAGATAAGCCCGACCGTGTCGTACATCCAGGGATAGATTCTACGAGACTCACAGGACCCATGATAGTTGCTTGCCAGTGGAACTAAGCGCGCAGAGAAAGAATTCAGTCAGCATGATTGTCCACCAGAAGATTGCGGAGGACAGAAAGGTAACATGAGCGGTCTGCGTTGTTAAGCAGCCCCGCCGCGGTCGGTATGAGGGGGGCGAAGCGACCGTGTTTGGACAAGAGGCACGCGGGAGGGGATGAGGGCATACCAGGTCATCTCCGGTAGGACCAGCAGAGCAGGAAGAGGGGGGATCACTATAATGCGAGAATAACACTACGTTAGCCTATGCTGCAGGGTGAAGTCATCACAGAATTTGGCAATTTTGTTGATGGATGAGGTGTGGTATATAGTAGGGCAGATGACTCGAAGAGCACCCCGCGGCTGTGGTGGGGTGTGAGGCGCCCGGGAGCCATCATCATGGCGGCGATATGAGGTGGATAGACCCAAGGAAAGAAGACGTTGAGAGAGCGCTTACCGGCCGAGGTCAGTGAGTTCCTTGTTAATACGCTTGAGAGCCATGCTGTGATCTGGGAAAGAGTGGAGGAAAAGACCCCTGAATGAAGTGTCGAAGAAAGAGAGGGGGAGGGGAGGGAGGGGAGGAAGAGAAAGGCGGGTATCGAATTTGAAGGTGGGAAAACTGCTCAAGCACCAACACAGTCAGTAAAAGGAGACAGGGTCCACTGTCGAGGGGGAGGAGGATAAGGAGGAGAAGAAGAGACGGTGAATATAAGAACAGAGAGTATATAGGGATTATAAGATCCAGTCAAATAAGGAAGAGGTAGGTAGGGGGTAGGCAAAGTTGGTGTTGGGAAAGAAGAAGAGGAGGGGCAGGAAAGAAGACTCACTCACAGAGACGGGTTTGATTACGTCGGGAAGACGAGGAAAGAGGGAAGAAGAAGAGGAAGAGAAAGAAAAGAGAGAGAGGGAGGAAGAGGAAAAAGAGGGAGGGGAAAGAAAGACTAGGCAAGGAAGGAAGGAAGAAGAAAAGGCGGGTGTGGCCCACTTTCCGTTACCGTACTGGGTATTGTCATTACCAACCCATTTCTCATCCTCACCTCAGCCGACCGCTGAGTCAGCCGTCAGCTTTTTGGTTCTTGCTGGCTAAGACCTGCATCAGCCACATACTCCCCTCATACTGTACTGTATTGTACTGGTACTGTCCAGACAGCACACCTCATCAGCCCATAACTTACTATGCAATCAATAACTACTTTTTAATAACTTCAATCTCTTTTCTCGCCTCTTTCAGCAACATCCACATCCAATCCCATGAACAGTACCACCAAGGCAAGTTCGCAAGATAGATACCCCTCGATATGGGAAAGAAAAAGACTTAAGATGGCCTCAGGGCTGTGGGGGTCGAGTCATCGAAAGTGGGGAATCCCACTTCTCAAGGCTCATCGACCAAATCATGGTTATTTCCAGCCACGTTAATGAGGTTCTTCCCAATCCGGGTTTGGCTCTGAATGTCCTGCATCTTGCCACCTCTTTTTTTTTTTTTTTTTTTTTTTTTTTTTTTTTTTTTTTTTCTTTTTTCTTTTTTTTTTTTTTTTTTTCTTGTTTGTTTCATTAATTGTTTCCGAAACATACTCGAGTACGGAGAGTGTGCCGTATGTCATCCCGCATTCTACGGGGTACGCATTCATACGACATGTCCCATGTGAACTAAAATCAGGCACACATGAGAAGATGAAATATTAATGCTGCTTAACTACGGTCAATAACATAAATTTACTGTACTGTAGACTCGAGTAGAACTACAGTACCTACTCGATACACCACTAAGCCCCCTTCCGCTGGATTCAGCAGCTTTACGGTCGAGAGCAGGCAACTGGGCTTCCCAGGTGATTACTCAGTACATAGTAGTCCTCATTCCCCCGCCACGTCGGTGTCGAACCCTTTGGGCTTGAATATTCCTCATGAGGGTTCGGGCTCACTTTGCCTTGCCTCGCCTCGCCTCCCTCGCTCGTCATCGAATGCGGCGAAGATGAAGTGTGGCTGTTCAGTGGTAGATTCAGCCTGTTCCATCGGAACAGTTACCAGTAACTTAACTCGGTTTTACATACAAGCACCAGCGCCAGCACAAACGGCAGTTTCCCGAACATCGGTTTGCCAAGGTCCCACGTGGCGCAGTACATGGCACGTGATTCAGGACGGCGCTTGCGGTTTCGAGAATCGTCCGAGAAGGCTGACTACAACATGAATGTTTGGATCTTTGTTGAATTCGGTGCTCAGTTACGGAATCACTGGCTGCTTATGTACATATGTGGTATGATGTGGGCATGTGTGGTGGCGTGGACGAGCTGGCTTACTGTATGCCATCATCTGACCGGGAACATTGACTGTCATGCTTTTATTCTGGAGATGCGACGGGGCTGCTTGCGCTAGACGAAGGCTTGAACACCCGTGATGGCCCGTCCAAGTATCAGAGCTATGATGAGTTTTAAGTATTTTGAGTACTAAGGCGGGGAAAGAAGGGGAATCCGTACTATGAATGTCACTCTGTCCCTCGTAGGTTTGCACCACGAACAAGTTGGCAACGTGGCGGGCAATATGGTATTCATCGCTGGTCGCATTGCCGCCGAAGACCTCTTGGAGTCTGCAGTTCAGAAAATAGAGGGTCAGTTTTGTCTTCGAGGGTCAAAGAAAGGGTGGGTCCATACATCCGCGAGTTGGCCAAGGCACGATCACAGTTCTGTCGCTTAACCATCGAGATCATTTCAGGGGTGCATTTGCCAGCATCCTTCAACCGCGCTACTTGCGTCGCGGCCAGGGTACCGTAAGCCGCGTCCGTCGCCGCATCCGCCAGCTTCTTCTGGATCAGTTGGTACTTCGCCAACGGGTTGCCCTTGAACTGCTTCCTTTCCAGGGCATACGTCCGAGCCCGGTCCAAGCAGTCCTCAAGGGCACCCATGGCGCCAAACGCGATGCCCAACCGAGCACTGTTAAGACATGTGAAAGGACCCGCAAGGCCCTGTACCTCCGGGAACATGTTCTCCGCAGGGACAGGACAGTCGTCCATCTGGATCATGCCCGTGATCGAGGCACGCAGAGCGGTCTTGTTCTTGATGGCGGGGGTTTCCAGCGTGCCAGGAGGGCATTGGCTGCGCTCGACGACAAACCCCCGGATTTTGCCCGTGGTCTGCAGCTTAGCCCAGACAACCATGATGTCCGAGATCGGGGAGTTGGTGATCCAGGTCTTGGTACCAGATAACAAGTAGTATCCCTTCTTAGTGGGATGCTCCCGTGCCACTGTTTCCATAGAGCCCGGGTCGGAGCCGTGGTTGGGTTCGGTGAGGCCAAAGCAGCCAGCCAACTTGCCCTTCGCCAGCTCGGGGAGGAGGCGATCCTTGAGCTCTTGCGTACCGAAGTCATGAATGGCCGTCATTGCCAGAGAGCTCTGCACCGACATCCCTGAGCGGTATCCCGAATCCACGCGCTCAACTTCCTTGGTGATCAATCCAGATGCCACGGTGCTAGCCCCTGCGCATCCGTATCCTTCGATGCTGGCGCCGAGAAGGCCGAGCTCGCCCATTTCCTCGAGAATTTTGCGGTCGTAGTCTTCATTTCGGTAGGCATCTAATCGGAGCACCAAGGTCAGTCACAATCGCATCCCATACAATGCTACCACTGACTAGGATCACCTACCGAGAACACGAGGCAGCAGACGTTCCTGGCAGTACTGCCGGGCGGTATCTTGAATTGCCAACTCCTCCTCAGTATACAGTTCGGATGCAACCAGAGGGTCTTCCCAGTTAAAAGTCGCATATTCACGTTTGGAATTGGCGAGTGACGCGGCAGTGGCAGGTGCTGCATGTAGGCGGTTTGCCGCCCGGAGGTGGCGCGAGGCCGTGCGGAGAACGAACGGGTTCATCTTCGAGAAGAAATCCGAAGGGAGGAAAAGTGTGAAACTTGGAAGAGCAGTCTATACAAATGTTCTATCGCCCGGATACTCAATTGATCAGTTTGATTGTGATCGAGAAAGAGACGTGGGAATGCATCGACGTCACCAAGGGGTGAGGGGAAGGGAAAGGAGGAATCTCTCTTACTGAGCTGGAAGAAGCGTTCAAGGTTGCGGGGAGACGGCACTCAAAACACAGCCTCGGTAAATCCCGTCGAAAGACGTTGTTTGTACTGTACTAAATACTCAAGGAGCACGGAAGAGCACAATGACCCAACAACCTGAATAGACTGGAAGAAGATAGAGAACGCCGAACTGGACAAGGGCCAATTCTCCTTGTTTTTAAAAGGTACTTTTCTTGTCCTTTCGAGGAAAAGGGGAAGATGGTTGAACCTCGAACCGATCGAGCCGCGGAGGAGTTGAAATGCAGCGAAGGGCGGAGACTTCGGCTTGCCTTCCGTCCCCGTCGGCCCTTCCATCCAATCGATAAGATCGATAAGCTCTCCCCAGAACACTGATAGGGAAGACCTGCCTACAGCCCTGAGTACATACAGTAAGTTACTGCCAGGTGCGGAATTTACCTGTGTTTATGAGTACCGTAGGTAGGTATGCAGCACCTCATAGATTACGTCTTTACGTCTTCTGCTATTAGGTATATAGATAGATTCCTACTTCAAATAGCACCCCATTCTCACATCCTGGTTACCCCCCCCCCCCCAACCAAAACAACACCAGACTCAACATAGTAACATATATTCGTCGTCATTGCATGCGTCCTGCGCAATTCGTCTCCTGTCGTTATCGTTATGCTCTATGTATATAACATCTTTAAGCAGGCATCTGAGACTGAAGAAAATCGAAGACTCCGGTTGGGAAATACTCCTCGTCAAACCCCCATAAATCAGCCATCATCGGATCGACCGAGCCCTCCCAAAGTCCAACCTCTTGCTTCTCATTACCGGGATTGGGCTCGGAAGTACTTCCTCTCTCTGCTGAGAGTGGTGCTACCCCCACCAAGGCCGGTGTGTGGTTGAGGATCGATTCCCGCCCACCCAGAGTTTGCGGTCCAGGGACGACAACAGGTTTGGACAACAAGGTATTATCCTGAGGGTTCTGTCCCAAGGACAGGGTGCTATTACTGGTTCGCTTCTCCCACTCCTCCAAGCCTGTAAGCATCTTCTTCAAGCCACGGGCAATGTGATGACTAAGATGGTGCTCACTGGCGCGTTTGCTGCACGAGACCATCATGTCAATGATCCGGCTAACCAGCGCACGAACATACCCGACCTCGATGAGCAAGCCGGCCGATGCGATGGAATTTTGCTGGCCCGTAGTCCCCGTCGCACCACTTGAGCAGCCTTTCGCAGCGATCTTCAACAAAAATACAGCCGCGAAAGTGATCATACTGTGAAGGTAGAGCGGAACCCCCACCAAAGCCCGTTCGATGTCGGGCTCATCAAGGACGACCCGAAGCGTGTCAATAGCTGATCGTATTGCTATACTTGCTCGGTGCTTCCGCTCATTGGACATGGGCCGCGTAGAGCTGGACGAATGATAGGTTCGCAGAGCGACCGAATTGAGCTGCAAGCGAGAGAAGTGGTAGTGTAGATAGACCGCT